GAACAGCCACACAGTTACTAATTTCAAACCAACAAACAAATTAAAAAGAAGAACCTGCTAGAGAACCCTAAGATCCAGCCTGGTTCTTTTATTAATGATCCTTAGTTTTTTATGCCATATTTTACAGACTAGAAATAAAGGTACCTGACTGTCTGCTGCAGGTTGCATTTGGGGTTATTCTTTTTATTCTCCTAAAACTGCCAAAATAATAATATAAAATCTAGTCTTCTAAATCATTCAAAATTCATCAAGATATTAAGCCATTCTGCATGTGTTGCCTCCCAAATGCTATCACTTGTGCCACACTCCAGTTCCAACGTAATCATTTAAACACAAGTGTCCCATAAATGTCTTAAAATTTCATCGCACTGAGACCAAAATTCAGCTGAACAAAACTTTAGAAACTGGAGAAAAATTGCCACTTCTTACACAGATTAGTTCTGAAAGGAGAGAAAGAACAAACCCCTCTTGCTTCCACATGATTACCAGACTTCTGATTACTGCTACAGTTTGGCTGGCAAATGAGCAGAGAGTAAATAAACACAGCCATATGCTCCTTACACAGCTTAAAACTGTGCATGGTTAGGCTGTGTGGGTGTGCAGATGTTTGTGTCCTGCAAAACCACCCTGCAGAGCACAGCACTTGCACACACCAACCAGTGCCCCTGCATTGCCATCACAGACGGTGCAAACAGTTGCCATGAAAACACCTGCAAAACGTGCTGTTTTCCTCAAACCCAGAGTATTTTGCAATAGCATTTCTGAGGAAAAACACTCTAAAAGCAGCAGCTTGAAACACTGTTTAGGGATTCTGAACTTGTTTCAGCACCACCATGTTTTCCTCTCTTTTCCCAGCTCAGGACTAGCACGCACCAACATGCAATAAAGAAAAGCAAAATGTTTTGAACTGGAAGATTTATGAAAGCTTTTCAAGATTAATCATAAGATTCAAAAAAATAATTAATAAAAGCTTTTATTCCAATTCCTGAAAAAAACAACCATAATCCTTTAACCTGATATTGGCGAGAGACGTGAAATTGAAGAGATAATGTGATTACCTCCACTTCAGCCCTATACTAGGACACTAATTACAGGTTTTCATTCTCTGAAAACACATTTTTCTACCTGTTTAGAGAGAAAGGGGTTTTGTACTTCTGTAAGGATGCCTGCAGCTGCTTCAGCATACCTGGAATCATACTCAGTGTCTTTGTTGACAGCTGCTGAAGAGCTGCCCTGGCAAAATCCTCTCCTTGAACATTAATTTTTGCTGAAACTATTCCCTATCAGATCATTTTCTTCTTTGCTCCTGAGCTTGGTATAGATCTACACACAGAAGCAGAGCTACGACAGCTTTGCTATCTCTGCTTTTAAGAGACAGCAATAGTCTTTTTCTCTGCGATTTATCCCAATTAGATATCTCAAAACTTGCAGTGCTTACCACAATGTGAGTATACAAGATGGTCTGAAACACTGCTTAAGTCTTTGAGGGAGATGTAAGGAAAATAATGCTACCCATAGCCTGGCTGCTGGCTATTTCTTTTGCTAAAATGGCACTGCAAATGTGCACTGGTTTTAGAAAGATCATTTTTATTTTAAGCATCAGAAACATCCTCTTATTACAGCTGCCATATATAAGCCCACTCTAAAGACAAGGTTGCAGTATGTTTATCCAGATTACTTTTAAAGTTTGCAATAATGCGTATCTTTGTACTGCCCCTGATTTGCTCCTGGTTTTTTCCTGATTATTAGAAGAAAATAGACAAGATGGCACAGAAACAGCACCAACTTCTCCATCTTGTTCTTTGGGGGGGAAAACCAAAAGCGCAGAATAAGCGCAAAGTAGCTCAAGGAAGAAACCAGCTTTAACTTTTACCCTGGGAGAACCGGGGCAGATGGCACCGAGCCGCGCTCTTCCTAGCCCCTCTCCTTTTGCTCCATTTTTCCTGCGAAAACCGCGTCAGTGTGGGAGCTGTGACCCCACCGCTCCCTGCCCGCGGGCCCGGCAGCCGACGGGCGGGGGGCTCCGGGCTCATGCCCTGCTCGGGCAGGGGAAGGGTGGGGAAACCGCAGCTGGCAAAGAGGAACGAGGGGTCCCCGATCTCACTAACGGCGCGGGA